GGGTCCTTGTTGTTGTTAGTGCTTTGGCAATGTGACCAAGACTTAACCCCTACTGTGCAGTCTGGTTCCCTTGCCCTTTGCAGAACTATAAGTCACTATCCCTTATTTTGGGTGTGTGTGTGTGTGTGTGCTCGACTTCATTGCCCCCTGCATGTGGTCCTATTGTAGTGCCCATCAGTAGACATTGCCAGTGGTGCAGATGCAGCGAATCTATCCAAAAGCTATTATTTCAGCCATAGACATTTTCACTGTCACTGTTCAGGGATCCTCTTTCAGTGAATGACCACAATTAGAACCAAGAGAAGAGAAATGTCAACAGTGCCTTAAGGATGAAGGAGGAAGGGCAGGAGAAAACTAATAAAAGCATAAGAAGTTGCACTAGAAAGTGGCATATAGCAAGAATAAAAATGTCTTTCCTAGGGACCAATGAAAAATCACAAGTATTTGATCAGTTTTGGAGTTATATATAAAAATGGAAAGGGCGTTCAACGGGACAGCAAAACGCGAAAACCCCCTGACGAAAACTCACAAAATTTGCCGTGCACATACCTCAACCCACAAGGTATACACAACGCGAATCAAAATTCCAAACAACATTTGAACAAACTCACAATTACAAAAACCAACTGAGCATGCGCAAAGGCGCCCCGCCGCAAGTCGCCCTGCACACGCACATGGCTGACCGGCCAGTGCCCCGCCCCCACCCTCCCACGTTCACACCACACCCCCACCCTCCCCCACCCCCACCCTCCCACGTTCATGCCACACCCCCACCCTCCCCTGCCTTGCCCCCACCCTCCCACGTTCACGCCATGCCCACCCTCCCCCGCCCCGCCCCCACCCTCCCACATTCACGCCACGCCCCCACCCTCCCATGTTCACACCATGCCCCACCCTCCCCCGCCCCGCCCCCACCCTCCCACATTCACGCCACGCCCCAACCTCCCCCGCCCCACCCCCCCCCACATTCACGCCACGCCCCCACCCTCCCACGTTCACACCATGCCCCACCCTCCCCCGCCCCGCCCCCACCCTCCCACATTCACGCCACGCCCCCACCCCGGAAAAGATAAGATCTAAAGGAGGAAGGAAGGAAGGAAGGAGAAGTTGAGAAGGTATATGAAACAAGAAAGGAAGAAAAGAAAGAAGAAAGGGAGAGAAGGAGGATGGGAAAGAAGGGAGAAAGGAAGGAAGGAAGAAGAAAGGAGGGAAGGGAAGGTGTATGAAGGAAGTAAGGAAGGAGAAGTTGAGAAGGTATATGAAAGAAGAAAGGAAGGAAAGAAAGAAGAAAGGGAGAGAAGGAGGATGGGAAAGAAGGGAGAAAGGAAGGAAGGAAGGAAGGAGGGAGGAAGGAAGGGAGGGAGGGAGGGAGGGAAGGTGTATGAAGGAAGGAAGGAGAAGTTGAGAAGGTATATGAAAGAAGAAAGGTAGGAAAGAAAGAATAAAGAGAGAGAAGGAGGATGGGAAAGAAGGGAGAAAGGAAGGAAGGAGGAAAGGAAAGAAAGATAGAAAAAAGAAGAAAGGGAAGGGGAAGGGAAGGTGTCAAAAGGAAGGAAGGAAAGGGGAATTTGGGAAGGGGAAGAGAGGAAAAAAGCGAAGGAAGAAGAGAAAGGGAGGGAAGAAAAGAAAGAAAAGGAAGTCTGGAAGTCAAGAGCGAAGGAAGGAAGGAAAGAGATAGAGAGGGAAGAAAGGAGAGAAAGAGGAAGGAAAAAAAGGGAGGAGGAAAGGAAAGAGGAAGAGAAGGAAGGAGGAGAGAAGGAAAGAAAAAAGGGAAGGGAGGAAAGAACGGAGCAAAGGAAGAAGAGAAAGAAGGAAAGAAAGAGGGAGGGAAGGAAAGAAAAAGAGAAGGAAGGATGGGAGCAAAAAGCTAAGGAAGGAAGTAAACAGGTAGAGAAGGAAGAAAGGAAAGAAGAAAAGGAAATGAAGGAAGGACTGAAAGAAGGAGAGAAAGAGGGAGAGAAGTTGGCCACAGCAACGCGTGGCGGGTAAAGCTAGTCAAGTATAAAACAATCTTGGGTTTCAACCACGCAGGCTGGGACAAACAAGGAGTTTACATTTTACAGGTGTGACTTGGAGGTACATCAAGGGTTCTCAGTCAGCTCTCAGGGCTCTGGGTCCCCAGCATGGAGGCGCCTCCACTGGGCTGCTGGGAACTCACAAGGGAGGGATTCTGTGTGTGTGCATGTGTGTATGTGTATATGCACACACATATCTCTACACACTTCAACTCCAAGTCGGCTCACCCATATTGAGTTATGGGAAGGAATTCTGGGAAATGAAGTCCAGTAATAAAAAAGGACAAAAACAGGAAACACACGCTCTGTGAGTTAGGAAAGGCTGTCCAGAAAGGCACAATCAAAATATTCCCGAAAGATGGCCATCCATTTTTTACTTTATAGCAACCCTGGGCTATAATATCTACAACAATTATATATATATATATATATATATATATATATATATATATATATAATATCTATCAGTCTTTAAGAATAATATCTATGTCTGTAATATCTATATGTCAAACAATAATATCTACATGTCTATAATAATATCTGTATGTTTGTAATAATAATGTCTATATGCCTATAATAATATCATAGACTCTCTATGATGAGTCTAATTGGTCTCTGCCTCCTGGCAAAGACCCCTAAATTTAACCTCTACATCATTTGGAGATGCTCTCTTTATTACTAGAGACTAGTATATGCTCATCGTAATCAGAGATTGCCAGTGAAGGGCCAGCTCATCCATTAACCAATGTTAGGGGGGCTGTACAGCACTGTGCCCAGGATGATGGAAGAACATGGGGAGTCATCACAGTGGTGTGATACTTGTAGTCGGTGTCACTTTTTGTTATGGCAGCTCTAAAATGTGCCATCTTTTCAGACGCCAGCACCTGTAACATTCCAGAAAGTGGTTCTACTGGTTAAACCAGCAGTAGAATGATGGTAGCAATGCAAACCTTTGTGTTGCTCCCCCTGCTTTGCCCACTCTGGTGAAATAGGAGGCTCTTTCTTGTGTTGTGAGCTAATAACCTTACTGTAATACTCCCTTTGCTGCGAGAACATACAAAACTGATGCGGCCAAGGTAACCCCTGGTTAACCACACGAGTAGATCCCTCATCTCAATTAATTCTCTTTTATTATGCATAAAATGCCACATGAATTCATCAGCATTATATTGCCTAAAATGAAATGTTTGTGGACAGGAAAAGAGATTTAAAGATGGGCTTAAAACTAACCTTAAAAATTGTGGCATAGACACCAAGAACTGGGAAGCCCTGGCCCTGAAGCGTTCTAACTGGAGGTCAGCTGTTACCAACAGTGTTGTAGAATTTGAAGAGGCATGAATGGAGGACGAAAGGGAGAAACATGTCAAGAGGAAGGTGTGTCAAGCCATCCTTTGTCAGGGCTACCTTCCACCTGGAAATTGATGTCCTTACTGCAAAAGAACATGCGGATCAGGAATAGGTCTCTACAGTCACCACTACCAAAACCCTACACTTGAAAGGCAATCTTACTCAGTCATGAGTGATATCCTTTGATGATTGCCTACAGGGAAGCTCTCCCCTGTTGTAGACTTATCCTTCCAAATGAAGTTACTCAAATGTGGCCAGCCAGGTGCTGTTAGCCAACAAATTCCATTATATACCCTCCAACATGTTTCAGGTTTGAAACCAAGACATGGCCTATGAACCGACTAGGACACTAAGATCATCTGGGGAGGCCCTGCTCTCTGTCCCGCCTGCATCACAGGCGCGCTTGGCGGGGATGAGAGACAGGGCCTTCTCAGTGGTGGCCCCTCGGCTGTGGAATGCCCTGCCTGCAGATATCAGATCGGCCCCCACCCTGCTGGCGTTTCGGAGGAAAGTGAAGACCTGGCTGTTCGAACAAGCATTTGATTAAACAGTGTAATTGAACATAGGAATATGGAATAATGGATGATGAGACTGGATTCTGATTTTAATGTTGAAGTGCTAATGATTGTTATACTGATATTTAATGATTTATTTTACAATTGTTTTTAATTGCCCTATACTTGTCTCGTGATGTTTTGTATCAATGTTGTTCACCGCTTTGTGTCACCTGAGGGCTGAGAAAAGCGGTATATAAATAAAGTAAATAAATAAATAAATGGTCCCAAGAAGGCTGTAATAGTATTGAATTGTCTGAATGCAATATAAGACTGGATGTGAGTGAATATGCTGAAATTTACTGCAGAGAAGAGGGTAGGACAGTAGGAATACCAAGCTGGGATTGGGATTGCAGCCTGTTTTGGATGGAGTTGCTCTCACCCTGAAAGATCTGGTTCTTAGGGCTATTCCATACAGCTATATAACCCAGAATATCAAGATAGAAAATCCCACAATATCTGCTTTGAACTGGGTTATCTGAGTCCACACTGCCATATAATCCAGATCAAAGCAGAAAATCTGTCCTTGTTGACATTCCTAAAATATGATTTAATTTAACTATTGATGTCGAACACGAATTTGGGGGGCCCTGCCAAGGCAGAGGCCAGCCAGACCAGTAAAAGAGGATCCAGACCCCTGGCAAGACAGAAGACACCCAGAAAGATTTTCCCCTAATTTTCCCAATAAATCAAGAAAAAAACCCACCGGGATGTTTATTTCATTCGAGCTGGAATGGATGTCAACCGCAGTCATTTGTCCAGGAGCCGACATTATTATTTATTTTTACAGTATTTATTTACTGCCTTTCTCACCCCTGGGGGGACTCAAAGCAGGCATGACTTATTGAGGAAAATAATACCATTTTAATAAGAAATATAGAGCTTCGTGCTGAATGGTTGAAATTGTTGGAAGAAATCAACAAATCACTGGAAATTTTTAAAAAATGAGATGGCAAGGATTAGGAAACGAAAGAAAGAGAAGTATATCTCATGAGGTGGATAAGAATGGAATAGAAAAGCAAGTTCTCCAAAAACCATGGCGCAATATCCTTCTTCCCATGCTTAAAATCAGAGGAGACAGGGATTTAATTGGTCCAGCTTTATTCAATTGCCACTATTTTACTTTAGCGTACATATTTCTTCTACTACTGTAAATGCCTTGAGTGCCATGGAACGCAAAACTAAACTGCAAACTTCCCAAAACATTTCAGGCCATTTTCTGGTTTTCTTCATTTGTTAATCTGCAGCCAACTGGTTCACAGCAAAAGAACAAGGCAGCCGAAGGCTCTTAGAAGTAGATCAGCGGATCATTTGCTGTCTTTCCCGTCTGGTAACTAGTCAGAGAGATCTTTTCACCAGACTGAGGAAGGGGTTCGTAGATACGCAGGTGCAGATATTCTCCCTGACCACAATCAACCTGCAGAGAAGAGAGAATAACCGATCACTCTGAAAACTTTGCTTTTGTTGTTATCAAATGTCACAATCAAGAGTCACTAAATAGATATACCTCCTCTCCAATCTGTACAAACTGTCCAAGTCTTGGAGAACTTGGAGAATTATCTATCTTGAAAACCAGAGTTGGCCTCTTCTAAAAGTGATGTGAGACCATTTCTCTTGATCGTCTTTTCAGTGGCCAGGGCACATGTTGATAGCATTTGGCTTGTGAGTCTCTGGTTTTAGGTTTCACTCGCAAGACCAGATGACTGGACAGGGACGGGAAAGGTACTGAACTCAACCACATGTCTGAGGGCTCAGCTGAAAGTGATCCCCAAGCCACATGAATATTTCCAAGAAGGATACATTTGGAGTGGAGGAACGTTTGGGATCTTCACACCAAACCAAGCATCTTACATTCTACTGCAACGCACTCTACGTGGGGTTAACATTTATTTATTTATATTTTTTATTTCCTACGTTTATATTTCTCCCCCCAGAGGGGGACTCAGGGCAGCCTACAAAAGCATTACATGATGATAGCATCATAAAAACAATCAACAGTACTATCAGAATATTAAAATATTAAAACAACAATTCAAACAATTAATTAAGACACATCCATTAAAATCCATCAAAATCCAAAACCAGTCCGGTCAATTCATTGCCATAAATTGTGTGATCTTCTTACTTGCTGCTCACTGATCAAACCCTTGGCCCATAACCAGGTCTTGATATTCTTTCTAAAAAATAGAAGGGAGGTTGCCTATCTGATATCTCTAGGGTGGGTGTTCTACAAACGGGAGGCCACTGCTGAGAAGGCCCTGTCCTTCTTCCCCACCAGTTGCATTTGCGATGGTGGTGGGATTGAGAGCAGGGCCTCCCCAGATGATCTTAAGTTTTGTGATGGTTCGAACCAGGAGATACGTTTGGACAGGTAATCTGGGCCAGAGCCTGGAAGACTGCCCGGAAGCTCCAACTAATCCAATGCTCGGCAGCCTGATTGCTCATGGGAGCGGGGACAGGGAGCGCACAACTCCCTTGTTACGGTAGCTCCACTGGATGCCAATTAGCTTCCAAGCACAATTCAAAGTGCTGATTTTAACCTACAAAACCCTTTATGGTTCCAGCCCAGTTTACCTGTCCAAATATATTTTCCCCTATAAACCATCAAAAGCTTTAAGATCTTCCAGAGAGGCCCTGCTCTAGGTCCCGCCACCTTCACAGTCACGCTTGGTGGGGATGAGAGACAGGGCCTCCTCTGTGGTGGATCTCCAGCTTTGGAACTCTCTCCCCAATGAAGTTAGGTCTGCCCCCTCCCTCCTGACCTTCAGGAAGAAATTGAAATCCTGGCTTTCAGGCATGTAGCTGGGGGGGGGGGGCTTGGGGGGCTTCAGCCCCCCCCCCCCAAATTCTCATGGTGGTTCACGAAAAGGCCTTACTGGTGCATTATTTAAACTGTTATGTTTATTCATATCATGATCTGATCACCATACTCAATATATCCCATATGCATGGGGGTATTGGGGTAACGATACAAAAGGTTTGCTAGGGTAGACTCTCTTTCACTCAGACTCAGCCCCCCCCCCCCCCCCCCCCCCCCCCCGAATCGAAATTCTGGCTACGGGCCTGCTGGCTTTGGAATCAGGCATTCGCAGAGTGATAGTTGGTATAGACTACGAGCTATTGGATCACAACGTGCAGACTGAGTTGGATGATGTTTTAACTTGGCAAATTGGTTTATATGTATTTTTAACACTTTTAACTTATTGTATTTGTATGCTTTTAAACTGTCATTTATTGTCTAGGATTGAATTTTTGCTGTTAGCCATTCTGAGTCCCTCCACAGAGGTAGAGAAGAACGGGATGTAAAAGTTTAAAATAAATAAATAAATTCTCAACCCCATTTAATGTCCCCTTCCTCCAGCCACTCCAAACACATACACACACACCCTCACTAACCCACACCCCCTCATATACTACATACATGCACACACATCACAAGCACATGTAACCTCCGCTCACACACGCGCACCCCCCCCCACTAACCCACATATACCACATACATGCACACACGTCACAAGCACATGTAACCTCCAATATATTCATCTCCAGATACTCTTGACATATTCCTTTAACTCTAACTGTAAGTACCCAACCCCAACACACTTCAGACACTGGCACCTATTTAGCCCATATGTACACCACAAATATACACTCCTCGTTGGGTTATACCACCCATTCACACCCCATATACCTCCAAACAGCCCAAATGCATCCAAGCTACATGCCTGTCCAGACCTACCCACACACCTTTGACAGCCCATACAGACTCCTGAAGTCACCAAAAGGGAAGCCTTCAGAAATATGCAATTCAGGTGGAATAAATACACACAGGATGCAGTGACACTGTAGAATTCATGCAGTTTGACACCTCTGTTTAACTACCACGGCTCAATGTTTTGGAATCGTAAGAGGTGTACTTCACAAGATATCTCCACTGTACTGACAGCACTGACCTTAATGAAGTAGTTCGTTCCAGCAACCAACTGTGTCTTGTATTTAATAACCTTGAAAATGGAATACTTCTTGTTTTCCTTTTGTTCTATTTCACCTTTTGTCTGAAATTAACAAGAATAGTTTCACATTTTACTTCTTGTACAGAAAAGAATGGAACAGTGTCAGGGAAAAGGTGAGATGTTGGCCCCTTCCATACAGCTGACTAAAATCCCACATTTTCTGCTTTGAACTGGAATATATGGCATTGTGGTCTCAGATAACCCAGTTCAAAGCAGATATTGTGGGATTTTCTGCCTTGATATTCTGGGATATAGGGCTGTGTGGAAGTCCTATTTTTGTAAGCAAGTTGAATTTTATAAAAACCACAGGACATTAATAAGGTTAAGCACCCACCCCAAATGCTATACTGTCTCAAGATAATTTCAAGCCAAAGCAAATGGTGGAAATGGTCTTCCTGGAGGCCCCTTCTACACTGCCATATAAAATCCAGATTATCTGCTTTCAACTAGATTATCTGGCAGTGCAGACTTAGATAATCCAGTTCAAAGCAGATAATGTGGATTATCTACTTTGATGATCTGGATTACATGGCAGTGTAAAAGGTGCCTGCGCTTGCATTCCAGTTGTTCGGAGGGTACCAGGATCCAGAGCCACCTCCCAAGCTGCGACTCTTGTCTGTTGAGGTTTATGTGGTGGAAGAAGGGTCTTCCAAAAGAGACTGGGTTCTCTGAGCCAGAGGAAGCACCCATAAGAATTACTGCTGCCTTAATCACTACTCCCTGAAACGGTCTCACAGCAATCTGTCTTTGCCAATTTTCCTAAAATACGGTTTCATTTAACTATGCTTTTTCAACCATCTGGTAGACTCATTCACTCACCTGGTCAGCCAGCTCCTGAATTTCTGGAGTAGCAGAAATTTTGTCTTCGCTTAAGCCTCCGGTACTCATGGTGACAAGTCCGATCTGAGGAGTCTGGAAAGTCTGTGCCGTTATATCAGAAGCAACTGTGATGTTAGCGAGTAGTTTGGCACTTTATATCCTCACGCAGAGGGGCAAATGACTCAGGAAAGAGTGTGGAATCCTGAACCATGAGTGATGAGCACATGACTGACCTTCGCTTTTGGGGAGGGATAAGTCAGCAGACCTTGCCATGTTGCCAAACATACAGCAACCAAGTTGGGGGACCAGGTTGCATGCAAAGCTCTTTGGAATGCAAGACCTAAAGCCAATGTTAATCCCATCCCATTAGAATGGATCCATTGCAAAGAATTGGACTTTTTAGTGACCATTAATGGGCTTCCTGGATTAATTTATAGCAACTGAAGAAGGAGATTGGTCAGGATCTTGGCAAAGAGCAAGCAAGCAAGCAAGGTGTATATAACTCTTTCCCTCTGCTTTCTTCCCCTCAGTAACAATTATTGATTCTTTCTGTGAGTGATGTATATTCTGATAAAAGAGAAAGACTGCATACATCTTGTAGTATTAGCTTTCATGCACTAGGTATCACTTTGTACCAACCTACCATCATCTCTTATTTTATTTATTTATTTACCACATTTATATACCGCCCCGCTCAGCCCAGAGGTGACTCAGAGCGATTCAGAATTGGCAACAATTGGATGCCTCAGTAATTATAACAAATAAAACAATCATAAAATAATGTTAACATTAGCATACAGTATAAGAATATAAAAACCGTACAAAGCCTTAAAAACATCATTGTGAGTGTCTCCATGTCAAGTCATTATTTTCTTGCGTCGTCAAGTGATTCCATGATTTCGTATAACTATGCCGTATTTGAGAAAGCCTGCTCAAAAAGCCAGGTTTTCACCTTTCTTCTAGAAGTCAGGAGGGAGGGAACGTTCTGATTGGCTGCCGCTGTGGTGCTATTTGCATATGGTCTCTGATTGGCCAGATTCAATAGGAGCCCCTGGTGGAGAAGAGGGTTCATGACAGAAACGGAGACATGAGAAGGAAATTTGCATATGGTCTCTGATTGGCCAGCCTCAATTCCAAGATTCCGAGATGACAAAGAGAAGAAAGGAAAAGGCCAGAGGGGGCTGCGTCAGAAAATTACCAATACAGACCAAACTTGGCACACAAAGCCCCCATGACCCACTCTACATCCTACTGCAGTTTGGAGGAGGATGAACCATGGATGATGGGACTTGCAGTACCATCACTCACATTCTGAGACCGCTGTTAACCTCATCCAATGACTGATCAGGACCAAACTTGGCAATAGACCTCTCATGATCCACTTTACGTCCTATGCCATATTTAGGAAGGTCTGCTCAAAAAACCAGGTTTTCACCTTTCTTCTAGAAGTCAGGTGGGAGGGAGCCGATCTTATATCCCTAGGGAGGGTGTTCCACAGTCGAGGGGCCACCACTGAGAAGGCCCCATCTCTTGTCCCCGCCAAACGCATCTGCGAGGAAGGTGGGACCAAGAGCAGGGCCTCCCCAGGAGATCTTAATGTCCTAGATGGTTCATTAGGAGAGATACATTCGGATAGGTAAGTTGGACCGAAACCATTTAGGGCTTTATAGGCTAAAGCCAGCACTTTAAATTATGCCTGGAAGCAAACTGGCAGCCAGTGGAGCTGGCTCAACAGAGGAGTTGTACGCTCCCTGAGTGCCGCTTCTGTTAGCAACCTGGCTGTCGCCCATTGGACCATTTGCAGCTTCCAAACAGTCAAAGGCAACCCCACGTAGAGCGCATTGCAGTAGTCTATACGGGATGTAACCAGAACATGGACTACCATGGCCAAGTCAGACTTCCCAGGCGCAGGCGCAGCTAGTGCACAAGTTTTAACTGTGCAAATGCTCCCCTAGTCTCTGCCGAAACCTTGGGTTCCAGGCTCAGCGATATATCCATATAAAAGTCAAAATATGCCTGTTTGTTTGTACTACAAAGGCTCCCACATGGTTTGATGGACCTCACCTACAGCACCTAGTAGTCATTGATGGTCTCCAATCCAAGTATTAAACTAGGGATGACTTTTCTTAGCTTTCAAGATCAGATGGGATCTGGAGCCTTTAGGGTATTTATACAGATGTTATTGGCTTCTCTCATGCTAATGACCCCAATGGGTGAATTGTAAACTTGTCAGTTTAGGACAGCTCTTCCGAAATTGACTATGCTAATCATTTCATAGTAGTTACCCTACCACTAACCCATTTTTTAAATATTGCAAGGAAGGTGTTCCAAAGGAGAAATACAACTAATGTCAATGTTACCGTATATACTCGAGTATAAGCTGACCTGAATATAAGTCGAGGGACCTTATTTTACCATAAAAAACTGGGAAAACGAATTGACTCGACTATAAGTTGAGGGTGGGAAATGCAGCAGCTACTGGTAAATTTCAAAATAAAAATAGATACAAATAAAAGTACATTAATTGAGGCATCATTAGCTTAATTGTTTCTGAATATTTACATAAAACTCTAATTTAAGATAAGACTGTCCAACTCTGATTAAGCCATTATTCTAATTTTCCTCAGTGTAAACGTGCTTACGCATCTTTCCAATAATAATAAAAAGAGTAAAATAATAAATGTAATAAAATAATAATAATAATAATAATAATAATAATAGAGCTAAATAATGGAAATGTAATACTAACAATAGAGTAAAATCATAAATGTCATAATAACAATAATAAATAGAGTAAAATCATAAATGTAAGAAGGAAGGAAGGAAGGAAAGAAAGAAGAAAGAAAGAGGAGGCAGGGTGTATGGGTACAGCAAGGGAAGAAGAAAAGGAAGGAAGAAAAGTGAGGCCCTTTCTACACTGCCAAATAATTCAGATTATAAAAGCAATTTATTTATTTATTTATTTATTTACAACATTTATATGCCGCCCTTCTCACCCCGAAGGGGACTCAGAGCACCTGACAAGATATATGTACTGTATATACTCGAGTATAAGTCTAGTTTTTCAGACCTTTTTTTAGGCTGAAAAAGTCCCCCTCGGCTTATACTTGAGTCAAGGTTATTAATTATTTTAC